CTGGGGCCCCTGGGAACTGGGTCTGCTGGGCTGGGAGGGCTGGGCCAGAGGACACTGACCACAGCTGGGCTGTGGTGCAGACCAGCTGCTCATGGACACGCCGTTCCCCCTGAGCACACGATCCGTCATGGAGCCCATGTCCTTGGAGGCCTGGCTGGCTGGCCACCGCAGGGAGCTGCAGGGGGGCGCATCCATCAACCTGTTTGGGGACACCTATGAGACCCAGGTAATGCAGCCCTGGGCCACCCAGGGCATCTACCCAGCAGCCGGGAAATGGGAACCACACACACACACACACACACACTTCGGAGGTTGTAGACATGGGCATTGGCCTTCCTGTTTCTTCCCTGACTCAAAAAATGATGTTTTTGCTATGAGTAGAGGCCTGCGGAGGCTATGTGGTCCCAAGAAATTCTTTCTTTGCCTTCAGAGTGGGGTGCAGCCTCATCCAGTGATAGGTTTCTAGGGTCTGGGGTTACACCCCTGCTCGGAATTCCTGAGCCTTTGACCAGTCACAGCGTTGGGAGTTGGAAGGGAGAAAGGTGTTTGGAGGTGAGGGTCCTGTGAGGGCACACAGAGACCCAAACAAAGGTAGGGCAGGGGAGTGGGGGCCACAGGCATGATTGCTAGATGGTCAGAGTAGCAGGCGGTGCTCGGGTCCTGGCGGTCTCCTGGGGTAGGCAAGGTTCAGGGACTTATCCTGGGGACAACAGAGCTTCACCCAAGCATTGACGGGGGATGATGAGGCCAGAGTGCTGCTTTAGAAAGACCACTGTACCCTGTGTGGGGCGGGATCAGGAGGGCGAGTGTGGAGGCAAGGAGACCTGCCAGAAGGCTTGTGCTCGCTTGTGCTTTACAGTTTCTACTGGCACATCCTTGCAGTTTGAATTAGAGCACTCACCCACCCCGCCTCCCAGAGAGACGCTCACCGGATACAGACCTGTCTTAGTTTAGCAGGACTGTGAGAGCAGGCACAGCCACAAAGTCCCTGCCACCATCACGGCAGCGTCATTCAGTGCTGAACTGGCCGCATGGCCTTGCCTTCCACCTTTCTCACCCCTACTCCCACCTGCTTCAGTTTATACCAACGAATACCTACTGAGTCCCCCGTGGGCCCGCGGGAGCACAGCCCGCACACTAGCTGCGGGCTTCCAGGCTGATGCAGATCACAGAGGCTCAGCCTCCCTCTCACTCATCCCCTCCCACCTCCCTCCTGCTCCTTAGGCCAGAATCTCAGAGTAAGGGAGGTGGGCGCCCCTTGGGGAACTGTGCATGTGGGCTACGTGGGTCTGCACTATGCCGTGCACATGTGTGTGCCCCTGCGGGTATTCCTGTGGGCCAGCAATAGCTGTGACGGGCTACAGAGGAACCCGATGTGCATGTGTGTATGGAGGGCAGACATGTGTGGTCCCGAAGGGCAGGTGGGCAGCTCCCATCATGATGGAGGCAGCAGGGAGGCCTGCAACCTGGGCAGCCTTCTCTCCAAGTCCTGGTCTTTGCCTCACACAGGGAGATGAGGCTGGCCCACACAGGCCTGGTGTCTGGGGGCCAGGTTTAAGGGGGCAGGAAGCACCAAAAAGCTGCCAAAAAGATCTGTCACTTCCCACCAGGTGATCGTCCATGGACAAGGCAGCAGCAAAGGCTGGAAGCAGAACGTGGACATGTGGCTGTGGCAGCTGGCAAGTGGGGTCCGCAGGAGAGGGTGGCACAACCTCTTGCCCTTGGGGACCAGGCTGCTCCTGGGCCTTGTGCTCCTCGGGCCTCCTTGCCAAGGCCGACTCAGGACTCTCGGACAGCTGTTGGGGCTGGGTAGCCTCCATTTGATTCTCCTGCTCTTCTCCCCCAGGAGGGCTCCTCTGTGGTGACCATGGGGGGACAGCACCTGAGCCTGACCCCCGATGAAAGCCTCCTGGTGCCAGCCAGGACTGAGTGAGTCTGCTGGGAGGCCTTTCCCCAGCTGTGGGACTCCCTCCTTCCCTGGGATCCGTAGGGCCCAGCCTTGCCTCACCCCTGCCCACCTGTGTCTCCACAGGTACTCCTGGGAGCGAGGGCAAGGCTCTGTGGCCTTGGCTGTGACTCAAGACCCCGCCCGCAAGAAGCCCCTGGGGTGATCGTCCTGCTGAATGTGCACAGCGCCTCCTCTGCCGAAACTACTTCTTTCCCGGCCCCCACTGCTGCTCGGTCTACTGCTGCTGAGTGCCTCGGCGGCCCCTCCCCCACCGGGCCCTGGACATCATTGTCTTTCATCCTCCTCCTGTCCTCATCCTCTCATCCCAGACTCAACCCCCTCTCCTCTACAGCCCTCAGCCCCATGCCCCACACAGTTCGGTCACTCTCCGTCTCTCTGTCCTCACAGCCTCAGTTCACTACTTGTCTGCCACCCAGAAGGCCCTCAATAAAGGCTTCCTGGTGGATGAGCGCCGTGGGTCTGCAAGGACACAGGCTGTGGTCGATGGCTGACCCCATGTGCTCACATGACTGTAATCTGCAGTGTCCATGCACCGGGGACTGTGAAGGTGTGGAGGGTCTATTAGGGGGTGTCCCTGCTTGTAGAGGGGCTTTCATCACTGTGCCTGTGGCCTGGTCCATCGGGCCAGGTGGTTGTCCTGGGGGCACAGAGAATGTTGTCTCTCTGCCTCTTTCTCACGTATTTTCTTAACATAATTTTTAAAATAGCATCTGTTAGGTTTTTCCTCCCAATAACAGGAGTGATTTCTGCTAGTTGTAGAAAATACAGAAATACATAAAATTCCACCCCTAGAGTTAACCCGTCTTAATACATGAAGACTGTGATGAGCCCATAGAGGGCAGGTCTAAGAGGAGCTTGGCAGTCCTCCGCCCCCTGCTCCCCTGCTGTTTACAGGTGCCCTCTCCAAAGACAAGGCTCCTGGGCCTGCTCTGGGGTCAGGAGTGCTGGCAGCCCCAGAAGCAGCAGTGGGTAGAAATGAAACAGGAAACCTGTAGGGGGCGATCTTGTCTTCCTGGGGCTTCAATGAGACGTCGATGAGGGGTCTCAGGTGGGGGTAACTGAAGGTGGCGCTGAACGGAGCACGTCCCTGGTTAGAGTCAAAGCTTCCTGTGGAAAACCCGGGGTCTGAGCCCTGCCTTCTCCACGCCAGCCTGGTGGCTCACTGCTTTGGTTCACTCCACGGAAGAGCAGAGAAGAGCCTGGCTTCACAGAAGGGGCTTCTGGCCCTGAGGGATAGAAGGACCTTTACCCACCTCTCTATTCCCAAGGGCTTTCCTCTCCTGAAAGCAAAGAAAAAACATCCCCAGCCTCCCCAACACTTGCAAGCAGCCCAAGGCAGTGAGGGCAGAGGCCTGGCACACGCCAGGGCTGCAGCTATGTGTGGCTCCGTGCGGAAGCCAGGGAAACACAGGAATGTCTCAGGGAGGCCCCTAGGAGGGTACACGTGGCCAGGAGAAGAGGGAGTTCTCCCTAGTGCCTAATCCAAAACAGAAAATAATGAAAATTAGATGTTCTGTTTTTTTGAACACTAGCTCTGTGCCAGGGAATTCCCTAGAAGTTTTTACATACATTGTCTTACTTAATCCTCACAACTCCTTAGGAAGGCGGTAGCACTGCTTTAAAGATGAGGCTCAGAGAAGTTTAAAAAGCAGGCAGCTCTGTTTCCAACCATGGCCTGTCTGCATTCAGAATTCAGGCTGGTGGTCTCACCACCCTGCACCCTGCAGTGGCACGCAGCCTGACTGCCCTTGGCCTTGGCCAGGCAGAAGTCCAGGTCAGGGGGATCTGTGGGAGAGGAGCCAGTGGCCACGATGCCTAAAACCCAGAGGCCTAGGCAGAGTTGGCAGCACATGGCACACTGCTGACCACAGTCAGTTGGCCAGGGTGGGTGCCAGGGCCTGGAACCTGCAACCACAGCCTCCCGTGGTGCTGACCCAGGTTATCAGGAGTTCTAGGCTCTCGTCTCTGCCCTCAGGCCTGGCCACATGGGCTCATGAGAACACCTGACAGTGGGATAGCAGGACCTGTACCTGGTCCAAAGCCAGCCGCAGCCTCCCACTCCCCTCTCCTCTGCGGATGCTGGGTGGAGGCGGAGTGGAGTAGACAGTGGACAGGGAGACTCCAGTACAGTGGGTCCTTGACTTACGAGTGTCACGACTAACGAGTTTTTTGAGATACGATTTTTTGCTTTGAGTTGCGAGCTAAAATTCGGGTTACGAGCCAGCTTCAGATACCCCACCGCTAGTTGGTGCAGCGAACGTCACAGTGAACGCCACAACATCAGCCCAGCATCACGTGTCTCACTCGTTCACTTTAGGATTTGACATATGAGTAATTTGAGTTATGAGCTCCGTCACGGAACGAATTAAACTCGTAAGTCAAGACCCCACTGTAATCCCAGGATTGTTCTGCTCGGGGGAGAAGCCCCCAGGTCCCCAGGTCACGGCAGGGGAGCCTTCTCCCTGTGGGATGTGCTTCATCGTGTACTTGGACGTGGGGCCATCACAGACTTTGGAGTCATCAGGAATCTGGAAGTAACTACAGCAGCTGGCAGGGCATAAGGGGGCTGGTTCCCACAGGCCATGCTCACTTCACTGTCAGGTGTATGGGAGCCCCACCTCCCTCTCTCAGCACAACATCCTGTTGGGCCCTAGTCCCTTCACCAGAGCTGTGGGGGCAGGGAGACGGCTGCCCAGCCTGTAATTGTGATGGAGGGTGGGGGTTGTCCAGGTCGGTCTGCATGATCCTGAGAGCTATGGGTTTCCAGGACCAGCTTCTGCCTTCAGCAAGCAGGTGTCTGGCCACCCAGAGCCACATATACTCTCCCCACCTCACCCCAGGTGGGATTCCTCACACCTCAGGGTCTCCCTGGGCCTCCATCTCACCCCTGCTGAGCCTTGTTTCCTCCTCTGCCAGGGGCAGCACAGATGCCCCCTCCAGGCTGGGTTCAGAGACCCGGGGAGGGGCATCAGCCAGTGTGGGAAGGGGAGGGAGGGAGGGCCGGGGGTTCCTCTTTGCTATCAAACAGGAACACTGGGTGTTTCTCAGTGGCTTCGAGGATACCGACGAAAACCCCAGAATACTGAGTCATTGTGGCGGCAGCTGATAGAGAGCACTCATCCCTGCACCCTCCTAGAAGCAGAAAGACTGGACACTTCTCTCAGCTCCGCGGCCCAAGCAGCACATGGAATTTCATAACCTGAGCGCTCCCTCGCAGCCCTGCCACCACCCAGCCTCTTCCCCAAAGGTGGCCGCGTTCCTGGTGCCAGTCCTGGGCGTGGAGTTCATCCTGGGCCTGCTGGGGAACAGCCTGGCCCTCTTCATCTTCTGCGTGCACACGCGGCCCTGGTCCTCCAACGTGGTGTTCTTGGTCAGCCTGGTGGCGGCGGACTTTCTCCTGATCGTCAGCCTGCCCCTGCGCGTGGACTACTACTACTGGGAGACCTGGCGCTTCGGGGCCACGGCCTGCAAGGCCAACCTCTTCATGCTGTCGGCCAACCGCTCGGCCAGCGTCGTCTTCCTCACGGCCATCGCGCTCAACCGCTACCTGAAGGTGGTGTGGCCGCACCACGCGCTGAGCCGGGCCTCGGGGCGCGCAGCCGCCGGGGTGGCCGGGGGGCTCTGGGGGGGCATCCTGTTGCTCAACGGGCACCTGCTCCAGATCCCCTCTCAGGGGAAGTTCTGCATCAGCTACCAACTGGGCACGAGCCCTTGGGCCGGGCTCCGCTGGCACCAAGCGCTGTTCGTCTTGGGATTCTTCCTGACATTTGCGCTCATCCTCTTCGCCATCGTGAGCATCGGGCTGACCATTCGGCGCCGGGGCCTGGGCGGGCAGGCGGGCCCGCGGCGGGCCCTGCGCATGCTGGCCACGGTGGTGGCCGTCTACACCTTCTGCTCCCTGCCCAGTGTCCTCTTTGGCCTGGCGTCCATCGTGGCCTTCCACCTGCACGCCTGCCGCGCCCTGGACCTCTGCTCGCAGCTCTTCCACGGCTCCCTGGCCTTCACCTACCTCAACAGCGTCCTGGACCCCGTGCTCTACTGCTTCTCCAGCCCCAGCTTCTTCCGCCAGTGCAAGGCCCTGCTGGGCCTCGGCCAGGGCTCACAGGACCCAGCCAGCAATGAGAGCTCCAGCCAGCCGCCCGCCCGCCTCCAAGAGGCCTCCAGAAGGCCTCCAGAAGGTAGAGGCCCCGGGGAAGCTGCAGGCGCAGGGCTCCCTGGAGGTCTCGTTGTCTCGTTGGAGTGAGGGACTAGGGTCTGCGGCAGTGGGGAGCCTGGCTTGGAGGGACAAGGTCACTCCTGGACTGTTGCCAGCCACAACCAACTGGACAAGGGACATCTGCAGGAGCCAGGTGGGTGGCAGGGAGAGAAACAGGCTTGGCCTCACTGAGACGTGTGTCCCTGGTGCCATCCCGAGAGCAGGAGTCTGATGGCAGGTGGGTCGGCAGGGGCTGCAGGAGCTGCCCAATCCCGCCGGGTCGGAGCTGATGGCTGAGAGCAGCTGCGTTTTCTCGCTTGTCCCTTTCAATAAGAATAAACTTCCTTTTGAAAATGCAAGCCTATCTTGGCTGTTCTAAAGAAACCTGAATAAATGTCTTTGGGTCCATCCAGTCCTGGCATCAGTAGGGTTCAAAGGGAATGCCCCCAAGGTGAAGGGAAACTCTGGGGACGGTGTGGGGAAGCCATCCAGGGTGCCATGCTTCTACACAACTCAGAAGTGTCCTCAGGATCATGGGAGGGCACCCCTGCTGAAGCCCCGGGAGGCCCTACAGCCCTGCTGGGCCCCCGAGATGTCCCACAGCCATGCTAGGCCCCTGAGAGGTCTCTGGTCCTCTATGGCCTTCAGCTTCCCTTCTACAATCCCTGAGGTCTTGCCCAAAGCAGCAAGGACCAGGCCCTGCCCTGCTCTCCCCTGAGACCATGTGGAGGTCACCACCTCCACCCAGTCCAGGCTCCTGGCTCACTTCCAGCTCCCCTTCCCCCCCAGGCTTTCTTCAGCCCCAAGTACACGACCATGGCCCTGACCCTGGCCCTATGGGACAGGACTGGGGTGAGGGCCGGGGCCTCAGGGTCACCAGCGCTGGCTCACAGCTCTCCCCGAAGATCATCTTGCCCACCTCTACCCCTTTCTGTTCTATTCAATATGCCAGTGGTGTCTGAGACCATCTGGGCTACTTCATCTGGTGGCCTGGGTTTCTCAGGTCCAGGTGTGTAACCTGGCATGAATCGGGGTTTTGCTCTTTTTTGGAGGAGGGGATAGTGGTTGTCCCTAGTGTCCAAAGGGGAAGTCACAGGGTGGGGACATAGCCTTCAAGGCTCCCAAAGGACTACTTAGACGTCATTAAAGCCCCAAAGATGTATCTCCCGGCCCCTTCCATCTCCCCATGTGTCCCCAGCCCTGACCACCTCAGAACAACAAACACCTCCCGCAACACACATGTGCCTTCCTGCTGGGGAGATGGAAGGGGCTGGGACTGGTTCTCCACTTATCACCCCAGACAAGGGCTTCTAGGCCTCAAGTACAGGGACCAAATCCTCTCTCCCTGTTTCCTTAGGAGTTTAATCCACTCAGCCCAACCCTCTCATATCATGGACAGGGATGCTTTTCCACCTCAGGAATGGAGGCCAAAGCACTGGCTGTCCCCCACGCCCCAGGAGGGAGGCATCCAGGAACAGTGTGGATGTTGGGGTGGGAGATGGAGAGAATGTGTCCAGAGGAGGGCGGTGGCTGAGGGACAATGGGTGGAATCGATATTGGAACCCATTTCCTCAATGTATAGCTAATCCTCTTACCCTTTCTGAAAAGTTACCAGGAGCTCTTAGAACCTCACAGATATAAGAACCCAGCCCAAGGATAGAAAGGGGTGTGCCAACCTGGCCCCTCCAAGCTGTCCTCCTGTTGTTCCTCTGTCCCCCAGAGGCCTCCTGCTCCACCTCCTCCACTCTTGTTGCTGCCTTTTTTCTCCCTGGTAGAGCCTCTCCCAGGGGATGCCTCTCCTCTCCATCTTCTGCCACCACGGGGACAAGCGGGTCAAGCCTGGACCAGCTCAGTTTCGGCCTGAGGTTTGGAATTTCCAAGTCAGACACTTTTATAAACGGCTCGAATGCTCCTGGAGGCTGGGGACTGAGCACTTTCTCGTGGAGCCCCACCCCGGGGCATACAGCCAGAGCATGAGTGAGGGAGGCATTTATGGGGGGGGGGGGGGTGCGGGGAGGAGTGAGAAAAGATGGGGGAGGAAGCAGACTGTTGAAGTGCAGGATTTTCTACAAATGGGAGGGCAATGCCCGAGGTAGTATAAAGTGAGCTGAAGGCAGGGTGAATACAGACCCCATTTCTACATTCGGGTTCCAAATAGCACAAGGTCCCTGGGTGGGCTGTCTACTCGGAGTGGATTTTGAACAGTGCCTTCTCTCTCCTCTTGCTCTGAATGTAACCTGCTGTCACTCTGAGGGACAAGCAAATGGCATCCATGACTCTGCTCCTGGGACTCCTGTGTGGGGGGATAGCAGGCGGGACTGGGTTGATGGGCCTGTGGCCACTAATCATCCAGCATTTACAGGGCATCCACCAGTAGCCAGACACTAAGCTACAAAGGCAGACAGTAAACTCTGACCTTGAGCCCTCTAGGCCAAGCCTGGGAGAGACAGACCTGCAAATAGATCAAATGCAACCCAAGCCAGGATCATCCAGGGCATCTGAGGGAGCAATGCACCTGAGAGCACAGACAGAGCTAACTCTGCCCAGGTGTCAATGAGGTAATGCGTGGGGGGCTGAATCCTGGAGGATGAGGACAATAGTGAAGGGAACAGCATCCCTGATGTGGGGAAGAGCATGAACAAGGGCACAGAGCTGTGAGGAGACTCAGTGTGCAGAGAGGGGTGAAGAGATCACCGAGGCAGGAAAGGAGGAGGCCTAGGCACAGAGTTAGGAGACAGCACAGGCAGACTGGGCCCTGCAAGCTCAGGAGCCTGGGTTGGCCCCAAGATGATCAATATGGCAGGAAGGAGAGTATGTGTGAGGTTTTTAGAAATCAAAGAGGACCAGTTTGGCATCTTGATCAGTCAACTCTGGTAACACTGTGCACAGACTGGTTAAGGGGTGTGGGAGTCGACCTAAGTAGGAAACAGTCTGTATTCCAAGCAAGAACCTGAATAAAGGCAGTGGGGGAGACTGTGAAGGGGCAACAGTGAGGCACAGTCTAGGTAAAGAAGACAAGTTGGAGGGGCTTGGAGGACCTCCAGGTAAACATGTTCCGTAACCACTCAGGCTGGAAGTAGGATTTCAGAATCTTCCTCTTACTAATTTGGAATTGAGCTTAAGGGGACGGATGGGATCACCTGGCAAAAGAGCAAAGACTAAGAATCATCCTTTTTAAAAAATCCCCACAAGTAAGACACATAGAGGAAGACCCAGTAAAATGCCCAGAAGAAACCTCTAATTGGAAGAAAACCAGGGATTTTGCAGTAAGAACATAAACTGGGCAAGGCAATCTCTCTGCTCAAGTATAGAGATTGCCCATTAAAAAGAACAGAATGGAGACACCCTTTATGAGGGTAAAAGCCAAACATAAAATACCCAGACAGGCTGCAAAGTGCTTCGTGAAAGAATAAAGCATTTTCCAAAACTCCTAATTGCATGCTGAAGAAAGCTGATCTGAGAACTAAAGGATGTGCCCCGGCCGGCGTGGCTCAGTGGTTGAGCACCGACCTATAAACCAGAAGGTCATGGTTCAAATCCAGTCAGGGCGCATGCCCAGGTCTCGGGCTTGATCCCCAGCAGGGGTTGTGCAGGAGGCGGCTGATCAGTGGCTCTTTCTTATCATTGATGTTTCTGTCTCTCATTCCCTCTCCCTTCCTCTCTGAAATCAATAAAAATATAATTTTAAAAAATGAAAACAAAAGCGTGTGTCTGACAGTCTGCTCAAGCATCTTGGATTGAAAACCTGGGTTAACAACCCATTGTCTGGTACTATTAACACAAGCTTTTTAAGAAGTGATAGACTGGCCCTAACTGGTCTGACTCAGTGGGTAGGGCATCAGCTCTCAGACTGAAGGGCCCCAGGTTTGATTCCAGTCAAGGGCACATACCTTGGTTGCAGGTTCCCTGGCCCTGGTCACGGTGGGTGCAGGAGGCAACCAATTGATGTGTCTCTCTCACACTGATATTTCTGTCAGACTCTCCCTCTCCCTTCCATTCTCTAAAAATCAATGGAAAAATATCCTCAGGTGAGGATTAACAAAAACAAAGTGATAGACTGTCTTTTGTGTGAAATTTAATAATATGTAAAACATGTTCTGTATTGATTATAGATTCATAGATATGTATTGTGTAAAATCATGCACTGGGATGATAAACACCAAATTAAAGAGAGTGGTTGCTTGTGAGACGGGGGAACATGGGAAGGGGGTTCACAGGTGACTACCACTGTATCTGAAATTACCTTTGTAAAAAAATCTGGAAAAAGTAACTATGAGCAGTATCTGAATGTTACTTAGCTTTTCTCTGGGTAGAGAATGAAGGGGTC